AATAATAATAATAATAATAATAATAATAATAATAATAATAATAATAATAATAATAATGACAGTAATAATAATAATAATAATAATAATAATAATAATAATAATAATAATAATAATAATAATAATAATGATGATCTTTGGCAGCTTGACTAGGTGGCCTTCCTTTCAGTCTGATAGTATTTCCTCCTTTTGCCAAACCTTTTCAAATACAGCATATGGAGTTACTAGTACCATCCTAAAGCTTCTGCAGTTGCCTTGTTTTTGACAAAACATTACCCATATATCTTGAATCGAAGTTGAGATATTCACGATTGAGAAAGGTGGGGGTCTCCTGGTTTCAGAGTTTGGTGACTTCCAAAGCTTGAGAGTCCTTGGAAACTGCTATAAATATACATTTTTGTGCTATCGATCAACGTTTTTGATAAAGTCCGTACAGAAATGTATTTTTACATGGACACAAGAGGTGCTGAACCAAAAAAAGAAAGAAAAGTATTCTACAAAAACTCATAATTTATTTATTCATAACTTACCAATACATGTATCTAGCACCAAATCAGAAAAAAGAATCTATCTCTCTCTCTCTCTCTCTCTCTCTCTCTCTCTCTCTCTCTCTCTCTCTCTCTCTCTCTCTCTCTCTCTCTCTTTCTCTTAGGTGTGTCCCGAGCGCCGTAAAACACTTTACATCTCCCTATCTATCTATCTATCTATCTATCTATCTATCTATCTATCTATCTATCTATCTATCTATCTATCTATCTATCTATCTATCTATCTATCTATCTATCTATCTATCTGTCTGTCTGTCTATCTATCTATCTATCTATCTATCTATCTGTCTCTCTCTCTCTCTCATTCTGCTGGCCGTGTTGTGTTTGTGTATGGGTGACGTCTTCCACGTGAAGTCTTCCATTTTTAAAAAAACCACGTTTCCCCTTTGCTCTCAGGTCTCTAAGTTCTTCTCTTTGCCGCGGTGTAAGATCACCGGCGACACTCACCCCCTGCTCCTTTAGGTCCTCTCTTGCACCCAAAACAAGGAATTTGTCCTCCGCATATTGGAATCTTGCAATAATGGGCCTGGGGCGGTCCTTCTGCCTCTTGGGCCCCACTCTATGTACCCGTGTGAAATCACGATCTTCCCAGCTTTTCTCTGTCACTTTTCCAAGTATTTCTACTACCTTTGTTCTTGCTGTTTGCGGCTCCTCCCTCAAATCCTCCGGCACACCATAGAACATTAAATTTTCCCTCCTACTGTACCTTTCTGCCTTTTCCATCTCCCCTTCCAATCTAATAACGTTATCCTGCAGTGCAGCACATTTCGAGTCAACTTCTTCAATGTCAAGACATTGCACGTGCTGCTGTTCCTTAATTTCACAGACTGAATTTTTTATTGAAGCTATTTCGATCTCGAAGCGCTCCAACTTTGCTCTAAAGTTCTTAATTTCATTTTTAATTTCAGAAAAGTTGTTCTCACTGTACTTTCGAAAGGCTTTAAGCTCCTCTAGGATCTCCAAGCTTATTTCCCTTGACTCGTGATTTTCCATGCTTTCGGAACAAACTGTGGGCTACTCACAAAATAAATATGTCGGACTGTTTTGCTCTTCACTTCACAGATAGCAGAAGGGAAATTCGACAAACACTCGTAGTTCACAGACCGGACAAACACACCAGTTGCAAACAAGCACTCTTCACAACCCAACACTCACTGTTACACACAATATCGACACAATATCTGTCGGGCATTTAGAAACAACCGAGAAAATCACAGACCGACACAAAACACAGCTGCACTCTTGCCAGATCAAAAATTTCTTCTCTAAAATTGTCTCCTTTCACCTCCTTTCCTGCTCTCTAGCAATGTTCTGTTGTCTGCTTTCATTTCCACTTTCTGCCCCCACCCCCCACCTCCTTTGCCCCCTCCTCTGGCTCCTGACTCTTTCTGCAGCCTTTCTACTCCTACTCCTTGGCTCCTCCTTACAGCTGTCTTTCTGCCACACCCCAGATCTTCTGGTAGGAAAGATCTACACCTATCCTTCTCAGACAAGGGCGAAAAATCTCGGAGGGCCCATGGGCAAGTTGCGCACGTTAAAGATCCCTTGGTGGTCTAAATTCGATAAGAGTAGGCTTCGGCCGCCACCTGGGCAAAATTCAAAATTTTCTACCAACTGAAAATATTAGGTGTGTCCCGAGCTCCGTAAAACACTTTACAAAAACATATCTATCTATCTATCTATCTATCTATCTATCTATCTATCTATCTATCTATCTAT